CGGTTGCTTTAATTTTGGGTTACAATTCGAGTTATTTATCTTTTTTCGATTTTTATAAACAAATTGATCAAGCATGCATGTTAGTAACATTTTCTTTTCGATATTATCAGATTAGAGATAACTAAACAATTCAATTTTTAATTTCTTTTTAGGAATTAGTGGCCTTATTCTCTGAGGAAAAAAGGGATTTTTCTCACTAAAATTTGAGCTTGTATAAACTATCTAATAGTGTTAACTTACTATATTTAATATTTCATTGACTTTATGTGTTGTTGCAAATATATAACAAAGAGAATAAATTTTTTAGTTTTAACCTAGTCATCTTACTTAGCAAGAACGTCAGTGAAGATAGAAAGAACCTTTAAATTAAAAGAACTCTAATAATAATATCCATCATTTTTAAAACTTATATTTTGTTTAGTAGGTGGCAAAGAAAATATATATTACTTTCTTATATATAAATATATAGTTTTTTCTGAGATCACTCGTGCCATAGCACCCCACGGGTACCATAGATCCGCCTCTGAATGCAAGTGTAAAGTAAAAATGTGACATATAAAAAAAGATTTATTTGGGTAGACTTTGTAATGGTGTTAGTACATACAATAATACAACTCAACTAACCCTTTATTTTAGAAAAAAACTTGATTACGTTAAGGTACAAGAATCAAATTGGGACCTCAATGGGCCACGCGTAAGGACCTAGTACGTATCGAAACATTAACTCATCAAAGAAAAAAAGATGCATTTATTAGTTCAATTCATTTATTAGGACTACTCAACCTATCAACACTTTGTTTGGATGGTTGTTACGTATTGTTTCATAATGTATTATATTGTATTATGTTATTGTTAAGCGGTGTGGTTTTTTTTTCCTCATGAGTTACAATTTAAAAATTGTTAAACCCTTCTAACTTATCTCAACATATGGGCCAAGTGGCATAGGGTCTTAAACAAGTTTCAGACTTAGCTCATTATTGTTACCCCTATTAATTGATATTTAGTACTAAGTCTCAAAAATACCTTAAATATACAATATAATTTTTTGTTGAGGGGGTTCGGGTGAACCCCTCGGCAACCTCTAGGTCTGCACTTGGATACAATCTATCCAAACACTGTATTCATTGAAATAATATAATACGATACAACTAATTATACCTACACTATGACTATCTTGTGCACCAATTAAACCTAATCCTTTTGTTGACAACCTTGTTAAAACCTCTTGACCCAAAAATGTTACTTCCTTCTCAACTATAAATGAAGCATTGGTTTGTTTGAATAGTTTGGAAAGAAAAAAATATCACCCCGAGATCAAACCAATCCGATATTATATATGTAATTTTAAAATTTTATTTTATACATAAATATATTTACTTTGATATAATTTTAAAATATTTCTTATACTATTTCATAGTTTTTATCTTTTAATATATTATTTCAAGTTTTAGCATTTCATCCCCAGACGGATGGTCAGGCAGAGCGTACCATTTAGACCTTAGAGAAGATCATTTTCATTATGACTTTGCAATATTTATTTTATATGATGATTTCATTATTATTTTTTATTGAATATGTTTGTTCATCAGTACTCATCTCATATTTTGTGTTATTTTTTTAAGAAACACCTTAGATAATTGTATTTTGGTTGGACTAAAGAAATATTTGGAGCACAAGTTAATTATATGTTTGTATGCAAACTTTACCGAAAAAATCCAAAAATCTGAAAAAATCCGAGGTTTATTAGTTTGGTTTGATTTATAAATTTAAAAATTCCACACAATGGTTTGGTTTGGTATTTGAAAAACACGAACCAATCCGAGGTTGAAAAACCCGAAAAACTCCAAATTTTATTAGTTTGGTTTGGTTTATAAATTTAACTATGACTATCTTGTGAGGGTGTGCAACCATTTTGGCACCAATTATATCTAATATCAAATTTTAAATATTATATTAGAAAAATATACTAGTACTTATTAACATAAATAATAAACTAGATGCCTAAAATTAAAATGATGAAGGGAGAAATGAAATGACAAAATTCAAGTTGAAAAATATAGTCTAACAATAATCGAAGCTAATTTATTTTAAAATTTTAGAATTTGTTTCCTTTGACTTCCTTGTTTTCCCATTGCCTTTTCAAGAGCTATATGAAAATCTTTAAAAGGTACCATATCCATCCTGTAATAAATTTTAAAAAAATCAATATTGCTACATTGTTCATTTTAAATTCAAAATAACTTCTTTTTTTTAGTAAAATTATATTTAAATTCATAAAGAATTACAAAATTAATTGATCGAGAGAGTAAGAAATTGTACTCATATTGCAATATCCCAGCACGAACGAGGGCCAATAGATGATCAATCGAACACCTATATTGTGCTTCAACTAAATTATTTTCTTGTAACAGATATCCTTTCAATGAAATATCCTTTTAAAAAAGAAGATAATTCAATATATAACAACATATTCAGTGATCTACAAATGGTCAAGTTTGAAATAAATAAAGCATACGTAGATATTATTTTTGATATACTCTCAATAGCCGTTCAATATATGATCCAAAGAATTACTTATTGTTTAAATTTCATAATTGATCATTTGAAAACTAACCTTGAATATAAAATATGGAGTAGATATGGAAATTGGCTTCTTTGACATCCCTCCATATGTAACCACAGTACCGCCTTGCCTTAAAAATAATATTGTATATCTTCAATATTTAACCAAAAAAAAAGTCAAAACTTTAACTTTGAAGAAAACAATATTTAAAAAAATAAAAAAAGTATCTCAGTTTAAGAATTTTACCACCATATTAGCTGCATTTCCACCAATACAATTCAAACCCAAACTAGGTTTAGGTATATCACCCTACAGCACATCATCGATCATTACAACATATTAAAAAAAAAATACACTTGTTGATTATTTAAAAAATAATTATACTGTTCGTATATAAAAGTTAAATTCATACCAGGAGATTTTTGACACCTTTTACTTCGAGTTCACTTTCAGTAAATACTTTATTTGTGCCAAGTTTAATTAATTTTTCTTTAATTTTATCAGATTCAGGTTTATCTTTTATGATATTAATGCCATGAATTCCACGAATTCTAGCTAATTGAATAACACATTGCCCTACTATGCTTGTAGCTCCATTTTGAACAATTGTGTCCCCTGTTTAATCCAAAAAACTAATTAATTTTAAATCAAATTAAAATAATTAAACATGTTTTTAATTAGGAAATTTAAATAATAAACCTGATTTTAAAGCCAATAAGTCCTCAAGCATTCTCAAGGCACTCAAAGGATTAACAGAAATAGTGGCAGCATATTCAATTGGAGTGTTTTTGTCTATTTTGTACCATAAACTGTGATCTTCTACCACATAGGTTTGCCATGTCCCTGGAACATAAAAGACATAAAACTACGAGTTCAGAATTTGAATTTTACGATTTTTTTTTTATTTCGTAAATGCACTTCTGGAAAGGAAAATCAATTTTTTTAATGTGTCTAGCGCTTTCATCAATACGAAAGAGGAAGCTTTTGGGTTGTACCTGTATAATAGGGTCACTACATCAAAAATGATCTATAACAATTATTAATTAATGATAATAACTTAATTGCCACTAAATATTAATTGCCACTAAATATGTATTTTTAGCGGCAATCCGTTAAAAGTTATTTTTATTGGTAGTGGGGACTGGGAGGACGTTAAATAGTAAACTAAACGAAGATGATTGCACAGAAGATCGACATGAAAAGCCGATGTTCTTGGTACAGAATCTCATGTTCTGAATTTAATTCTTATGTCATAATTATATATAAGATTTGAACTAAAGTTATTGAGAATACTGGCTAAACTTGTAACTTAAATCCTATTTCATGATAATTTGACACGTAATTATCTAATATAGCTATAGTTTGAATAATTACCTAAAAGATAAGTTGCATGAATAACCAAATCTCCAGGGGAAAAAGCCATAACAACAGAGCCCACATAATGTATTTCTCCAACACCTTCCCATCCCCCTATTGCAGGTGTTGGTGGCAGTACCGGATACACTCCTGATATGCAATTATTAGTAAAATTAAGGACTCGATTATAAAAATTATTCACTTTTTTATTAACTTCTTTTATACACTCCTGATATGCAATTATTAGTAAAATTAAGGACTCGATTATAAAAATTATTCACTTTTTTATTAACTTCTTTTTCTCAATTATGGAAGTTCTATATTTAACTTGAAGTTGCATTTTAAATTTGGAAAACGGCCTATAATATGTTTTTTAAACTCATTTTTCACTTTTCATGTTGTATCTATGTACAGGGTACCCTTAACCTTGAAAACCCCCCCGCACCACCCCACCCCACCCCACAACCAAAATGATATATAGCTAGGAGTTTATTCACAGCTTAACTAATTTCATAAAATGTCTAACATATTTTACTAACAATAGATAACAGATAACCATGTTCAACAAGGCTATAACATGATAGTAACTTAATTTGCTCACACTTTGACTAATCTCATGAAATGTCTGACATATTCTACTAGCAATAATTTTTTTAACTCATTTTTCACTTTTCATGTTGTATCTATGTACAGGGTACCCTTAACCTTGAAAATTATTCGAATATTCTTTAGAAAAAAATATAACCAAGCACAACTTCATATAGTGTAATTTTCCTTCGAAGAAATCACGCCATATACACATTTAAGAGTAAATTTTACGGGTTTTAAACATGCTTTTAAACAATTCTTACTTATAACAGTTTATTTTTACAACTTGAAAATTTAATTCTACTGCTATAACTTGAAAATATTAGTCTAATATATGTTATATATTAAATTTTCATTTCGTAGGAGTGTTTTTAAATTTTTGAGGGTGATGAATAATATTTTAGATTAGGATTGAATAATTTTCAGATTTTTTATTTAACAAACGGTTTCACTATTTATCTTCTTCTCCGGCGAATAGCTCGCCGGAGCTCCGATGAGCCACCCACCTCCTCTCAAACCCAGACAGAACAGCCCCATTCCTTCAGCACCCTCACCGGAACACCAATCTTAACATTGCTGGAACAACTACACCACCCCCTTTACATTGAATTAAATGATGTCTCAGGATATATGCGGAATAGAATATTATAATTTAATCTTTCACACTGTATCGGTTGAGACTGAAAGAGTTTAATATCTTGCCTTATTTCATTGATAACCATGGTTTATATATAATCAATACAAGACTATAATTAAGGAAACTAACTAGATATAAGAGGAACTAAATATACACTTAACTAATGTGATATATACAAAGAATCAGAATATCTTTATCATATATTCTAACACGCCCCCTCAATCGAAGCGGGAGGTCGCCGAATGCTAAGACTGTCCCGAAAATCCTCAAATAACACCAACGGAAGACCCTTGGTGAATATGTCTGCAATCTGATAACGCGAGGGGACATGTAACACTCGAACTTGACCGTGAGCCACATTTTCTCGTACAAAATGTATATCCATTTCAATATGCTTAGTGCGTTGATGCTGAACAGGATTACTAGCAAGATATATGGCACTCACATTGTCACAATACACCAATGTAGCCTGTGGGATAGGACAATGAAGTTCCAAAAGCAAATTTTGTAACCAACATGACTTAGAAACCACATTGGCAACCCCTCGATATTCAGCCTCTGCACTTGAACGGGATAAAGTAGCTTGACATTTAGCGGACCAAGAGATCAAGTTATCACCCAGAAAGACACAGTAACCCGATATGGAACGTCGTGTGTCTGGACATCCACCCCAATCAGCATCAGTGTATGAAATAAGAGTGGATGTGGATGAAGAAAATAGGTGAAGACCAAAGTCCATAGTACCCTGTATGTAGCGCAAAATACGCTTAAGTGCGTGCATGTGTTCCTCCCTCGGGTCATGCATGAATAAGCATACCTGCTGCACTGCATACATAATATCAGGTCTTGTGAACGTAAGGTACTGAAGTGCTCCAGCAAGACTCCTATAAAGAAATGGATCCTTAATCGATTTGCTCGTAGTAGTGCCGACCTTCGGTTTTATATCAACTGGAGTGGGAGAAGCTTTGCATGATGACATTCCAGCTTGTTCAATGATCTCAGTAGCATATTTCTTTTGTGATAAAAATAAACCACCTTCATGTCGAGTGACTACAATGCCCAGAAAATAGCTCAACTCGCCCAAGTCCTTCATAGCAAATTCCTAGCTAAGAAAGGAGATGATAGACTGACGGAGCTTATCCGAGGAAGTAGTCAAAATGATATCATCGACATACAGTAAAAGATAAGCCATAGAAGTACCTCGATGATAAATGAACAATGAATGATCCGAAGTACTTTGAGAAAACCCAAGAGTACGGACATAGTCAGCAAACCTCTTATACCAAGCCCTTAGAGCCTGTTTGAGCCCGTAGAGAGATTTCTTTAGCAAACAAACATGATTAGGGTGAGCGGGATCCCGGTACCCCAAAGGTTGATACATGTATACAGTCTCCTTGAGTTTCCCATGTAAGAATGCATTTTTGATGTCAAGTTGATGAATCTGCCAAGCCTTAGAGAGAGACAAACTGAGAACTGTGCGAATAGTTGCCGGTTTGACGATCGGACTAAACGTCTCACCACAATCCACGCCAACCTGTTGAGTTTTATTATCACATACAAGACGGGCTTTATGCCTCTCTAATAAACCATCAGATCTTTCTTTATGAGCAAAAATCCACATCAACCTAATTACATTAACATTTGGAGGACGGGGAACCAATTCCCACGTCTTATTTTCAATAAGAGCATTATATTCATCATCCATAGCCAATTTCCAATTCAGGTCACGAAGAGCAGACAAAGGGTTACTAGGGAGGGGTGATTTAGACGCTGATGTAAGAAGGCTGAAAGGCTTCTTAGGCTTTGAAATCCCATATTGACTCCTAGTAACTGGACTCGTGGGCAGTCGCGAGGGAGAGATCGGAGTGGGGCAAAGAAGAGAGTTAGATGAGAGAGGGGAAGGAGTAGATGAGCTCGGTGTAGTTGACTGGGGAAGGCTAGCGGTCGACTGAGGAAGGCCGTGCTGCACGATGGGCACAACGGAACCACTCGCTAGGCCAGGCGATGTGGGTGCGAGTGCGTTTTGAATAGGTGCAACTTGTGGGTTAGGAGAGGTAGTGAAATGATGGACCATGTATGGAGATGGCCCATCGTCAAGAAACCTATAACTGTGAGTTTGAGGAGTATGAGACTTTGCATAGGGAAATTGTGTCTCATCAAATATTACGTGACGGCTAATGATGATTTTTCTAGATGACAAATCAAAGCATTTATACCCACGATGATTTGACGGATACCCCAAAAAAAACACAAGGAGTTGATCGTGGTTGGAGTTTGTTGATGGTTGTAGAGGGAATAAAAGGATAACATAAACACCCAAACACCCGAAGATGAGAATAAGACAGATCTTTTTGATAAAGGATGCGAAGAGGAAATTGATAATGCAATAGCTTATGAGGAAGGATACTGAGAAGGTAAGTCGCCATTTGCAACGCATGATGCCAACAGAAAGGAGGAAGGGAAGCATGGGCTAATAAGGTACGAACAATGTTGTTGATCGTACAAATTTGTCTTTCAGCTGTCCCATTTTGAGGGAATGTATGAGGACATGAAAGACGAAATGAAAGGCCATTTGCTTTACAAAAATCCCAAAAGGGGCCATTATCAAATTCCGTGCCATTATCACATTGTTTATTCTTTATGTCCCGCTCAAGTTAGGTTCGAAGAAATGTCTTGAAACTCAAAAATGTGGAAAACATTTGTGATTTGTGCGATAAAGGAAAAGTCCACAAATTTTTTGAATAATCATCCACAAACAAGACATAATATCGATGACCCGATGAATTCAAAACAGGGGACGTCCAAATATCACTATGGATAATATCAAATGGCATAACAATGTGAGAATTTGAATGATAAAAGGGCAACTTAACATGTTTTCCAAGAGGGCAGAATGCAAATACGAGTGTCTTTAATTTGATTACAATTCAATCAATTATTCTTCCTAAGAGAGTTCAAAACAGGTCTTCTCGGGTGACCCAGACGATCATGCCAAAGAGATGGTGCCAAAACAGCAAAAGAAGATGGAGAAGTGGTTGGAGTAGTGATGGGATACAACTCGCCCCGACTTTCACACCTCATTACCGGTCTCCCCGTCTGAAAATCCTTAACAGTAAACCCACACGGATCAAATTCAACAAAGACAGAGTTATCAGTTGTAAATTTTCTAACTGACACCAAATTTTTAACAAGGTGAGGGGCATGAAGGACATTGTTTATAAATTGTAAGGGAGGACACGGTGAAGATAATTTAGTGTGACCATAACCATGAATTGGAATTGATTGACCATTTCCAACTATTATACCACATTTATTTCTCTTATTAAAATAAGACGTGAGGTTACCTTGTGTGGATGTCATATGAGAAGTGGCACCGGTATTCATGTACCAATTTGCATTCGGAGGAGTGATTCCAAGAGTATGCATTGCAGCCTCAATGTCGGTTGGAGATGGAGCTGCTGTGTAGGCCTGCTGTGGTCTGGGCCCAAGCAGACCAGGCTGTTGTTTCAGCTGCTGTCCATAATTGGGCCTTGTCCATGAGTTTGATGGATATGGACAAGGAGGTATAGCCCAGGGAGCCCACGGTGCCATCCAAGGCCACGACTGACCTCCAGCCCATGGAGAATTGGGTGGCGATTGCTGACCTGCTGGCTGTTGTCCGTCACCGCGGCTGTTGCCATCCCCCATTTGACCACCACCTCCAGCCTTACCTCCACCGTCGCTACCACCCTTGTTGCCTCCACGACCACCATTGTTGTTGCGATTATTGTTGCGGTATTGGTTCCGCTTCCCACCATTAGTATTGAGGTGTGAGGAGGAATGGTCAACAATATCATGCGAGCCAGTCGACTCACGAGCAACCATAGCTGATGTGATATATACAAAGAATCATAATATCTTTATCATAAATTTTAACAGAGACATCTTTAATTTTCAAACATTTGTCAATATGTGTCCACAATCTTAATCTATTTGATTTAATAGTTTTAGGAAGAGATATTGAATAACTATGACTTTATTTTAACTTGCCATATAAACATATAAAAAATCATTGTTAACAAAAATTGTACAAATATCATGTTGTCTTTGCATTCAACTAATAGTAGATAGTAACAAAATGAAAACTACAATAAAATAATATAATAATTCAGGTACAAGAAATAACAGATAGCTAGTAATAAAAAAGAATAAAAAATAACAAGAGAAATATTACGTACAACTATTAATATAAACGGACATAAAAACACCACATTGTTATCTACTAATATTTTATCCTAAAAATATATTATAACTATTGAAATATGTGATGATCTCGTATAGAAAAATTAACATATTATTTATATTTACGTAATTGTTTTCATCATGTTTTATCTAAAATAAACTATAAAAAGATATTTTTACTCAATTATGTCTTCCAACTTCATTTGGGTAGACTATAAAAACATTAATACAATCACTTCAAGAAAGTAGAGCTATGACATCGACGACATTTATGACAAAATGTCATTAAAAACAGCGTCATTGTTGTAATGATAAAGACATTTGGCGCAAAATATCCTAAAAATAATGACATTTGACACGAAATATTATTTAAACAATCACATTAAATATAAATGCCAATAATATTATGACATTTGTTTCAAATATCATATCATTTGACGCTAAGTACCAACTTTTACACCTAATGTTTGAAAAATTTAAGATTTTTAAAATTATTTTGTCACTCTTTATATTAAATTGTAGAACAAAATTATTGAATACTTACAAAATAAAAGTAGTAATTTTTACCTTAATTAATCGATATATGGTGACGTGACCTTCATATCAATAACTTAAAAATTGCAAAGTTAAGGTGAGCTTAAGTTCGACCCTTTGTTTCAGTTTGCATCCAATAATGGTTGGAAATTTTAAAGCAACATTTCCAAAGTTTTAAAAAAAATGTCATCAATTTTACACGGTGAAAACATTTTACAAATGTCGTAAAAAAAGTTATTTTGATATTGGCAAAAATTTAATTTTAATGTGACAATTTATAAAGGTCACAAATAAATGTCGTAAATCATTTTTTGAAAATAATTTAAATATAAAAAAATAAGTGACATTTTATATATGTCATGAATAAAGGTCCCTTATTAATTATCGACATTTCTTTAAATGTTTGAAAATTCTCGACAATCAAATGTCGGTAAGTAGTTTTGCGATATTTAAACTGCCTAATACGATATTTATATAATGTCGTTGTATCTCCATTTTCTTTGTAGTGAATAATACAACTCAATTGACCCTTTATTTAAAAGAAAACTAGAAAACCTCAAATAACATGTGCATCAACAAAAGTTCTGATGGAGTGATAAATATTTTTTATTTTTAATCAAAGGTCATGAATTTAAGCTTTATCTTCTACTATGAAACTTCTCGACGCAAATCTGAACTCAATCACCATTCAATGTGATACCAAACACTGATTAAAAAAAAACCATGTTAAATGTGCATTTAGGTCTCAAGAAAATAAGTGTGGTGTCAATTGAGGACTTCGGTAAACAAAATTTTGGAGTGTATTGATTAAAACAGCTACTTTGATAAACAAAAAAAATCAGCATATATCATAGGATACTTCTAAAAAATTCACTTTGTTACACTTTTAAGTCTCTTTCTTAGTCTATATATCAAATATCTATTTTTAAAAGTAACGTGAGTATGAAGAGAATATAATATACACAATCTTATTTTATTTTATACTATAAAATCATTTTGAAAATTAACACGAGTTTGAAGAGAATAGAATGTATACAAATATTATTTTATCTTGTAATATAGAAATAAAGTTTTTTTAGTTTATAGATCCTCAATCAAACAAGTTAAATAAATCTGGATATCAAAACGGAAAATAAAAATATTAATCAGCTGATAATATGACTTCTCATTCCTACATGGCATGTCAATACTAATTACTTTTTTTTTCACTGCCTTATAAACTAAATCCCTAAATCTTAATTACTCCCTTTTTCCCCTCATTTCATTATTTTCCATAAACGATTTCACCCCTTCTCCCTCATTTCGTAGCTAGGTTTCACAACTTCTCCCTCGTTTCGCGGCTAGGTTTATTTGGGAGAAGCTGTGAAACCTAGCCTCAAAACGAGGGAGAAGGGGTGAAATCGTTTCTGGAAAATAATGAAATGAGGGGGAAAAAAGAGTAATTAAGATTTAGGGATTGTGGAAAAAAAGAGTAATTAATATGGCATGACATGTGGCATCCACACGGCATTTAACAACTTCCGTTAATAAGAATGGTACTTTTGACCCAATAGTTTGACGGGATGGGTAGTTTAAGCCGAAATATAGTTTAAGGGCATATATGAGCTATTTCGAATAGTTTAAGGGTATTTTTGACCCTTTTCCGTTATTATTATTATCATTTTACATTATGGGTGTGTTTGGTATGAAGGAAAATGTTTTTCTTGAAAACAAGTTGATTTTTGACTTATTTTCTCATGTTTGGTTGGTGAGTAGAAAATATTTTCCAGAAAAGATTTTTAGTGTTTGATTTCTAAATGAAAAATATTTTTGAAAAATATATTTTATTTTTACTAGAGTAGAAAATAATTTTTGAAATTGAA